AAAATCAAAAAGGTGACTCTCATTCACATTATTTTGACTGCACCATTCAAGAATTCTGAATAAAAGTAGAGGTGATGAAATACTGTTCTGTCGTTTAGTCAGAGATATAGTTTTTCTCTGAGAGTATGTATTACTTTCTTTAGGACAACCCCCTTCTTTAACAGTCTTGCATTTATTATGTTGAAGACGAGAATTAATGCACTGTTGAACAGCAGTAAGTCTATTCTGAATTTTTAATCTGTGAGATTGTTTCCCTGAAATAATAATAACATGTTCTGTAGGCTTTGGCTGAGGATGATTATGAGGCAAGAAGAAAAGACCATATCTCTCATTTCATACTACGCCTTGCTTACTGCCAGTCGTAAGTACTTTTTGGACTATGCTGTACTTTTATTAATTTTAAATGTATACAGGTACTACATTGTTTTGTTGTAGACATTACAGATATCTTGGAGTTGCATGGGTACTAGATAGAAAGTTAGGCTCTAGCAGAGAGTTGTTTTGTAGGAACCTGATTTCAACTGTGATGAAAAAGGATAGTTGGGATCAGAGTTAATATCCAGATTTTATAATAATTGAACAAAATTGAGGATAAAGTTTTGGGGTTTACACACAGAATGTTGATTTGAGTCTGTTGCATTTGATGTCGTTTTTTCAATTTGAAGCACACCAGTATTAAGTGTTTGTCAGGCAGTCACAGTGATTGATAATTTAAATTAACTGCGTATATGCTTAAACTGTTGATTGCTGACCAAAGACCTGACTCTGTAGGCTTTATGGTATTGTGTAAAGAGAGAGCCTTGTTTCTGACAAACTCAGAATATTCTCCGAGTTTGAGGTTTCCTGTAGTGGCTCTGCTTTTCTTCAAAATTCATTACCATGAATGGCTGCACTGCAGTTTTTCTGTTGTGTGAAATCTCAAGCACAGAGTTGACCCTGTCAAGTGCATTCTTTCTGCTTCAGCTGTGGTTCTGGCATGAAATTATAGAGGTTGCCAGTGCTTCATGTCTATTAGCAGCTTTGCTATGTGTCAGTGTGAACAGCTGACTCTTTGCCATTGCAGTCCCTTTTTAGAATTAAAACTGGCAAATACGAAGTGTGTACTGTTTTCATTTGTTAATTCACTTTCACTTCAAGTTGCAGTATAGTTTATTTAAATTAGGTGAATGTGGTAGGATGCATATAGGATACCATGATAGCTGACATCACTTAAGTGCTGCTATGGATGGATACAGAGTTGTAAGGAAAAACAGATCGGGAGGGTGAGTGGGAGGGAGTATGCTCTGAGCCAGGATATGGGGCTGGAATGGATGGGACTTTTCCTTGGAAGAGCTCATGAGAGAGTTTGGGGTTTAAGGCAAGTGTTGAAGAAAAGACCCAGGTGGTGAACAACATGGTAGGTGCCTGCCACAGACCATCTGATCAGAGTTGGAAGTAGCAGGGGCTTCAAAAGCCTCCAGATGGAGAAAACTGTCACCATGACTTTAAACACCCTGAGATCATCTGGATTATTCACATCCCATCACGTTATCCTTTCAAAAGACACCTGGACTGTGCTGAAGACCATTTATTCGTGAACATGATCAATGAGCCAGCTGAATCTGTGATGCATGTACAATGAGGAACATGTGGCTGTGAAGATGAGTAGCAGCCTTCACTGTCATGACTGATACTATAGCTTAAAATCCTGGAAGCTGAATAACAGAATTACAACTGAAATTCCTTCTGCCCTTCTCTGTTCTACTTGTATGGACAGCAAATGTAATATTGGCTTCTTTCTAGTGCTTATGTTTGCTGTGCATGTTTTTATGATCTCTCACAGCCATACAGGAGGCAGTACATGGTCTTTTGCAAAAGGTGGAAAGTTCTGTATTTGGTTTGGGAGTGGCATTTGCAAAGCTTTGTCCACTGTGCTGGGAGGGGTGGAAAGCACTACCCCCCACGCCTGGCAACACTAATGCCTCTGGAGTCTCCTGGAATTAACGATAAATGCAGATAATTTGACCCCTCCCTTTTCCCATGCAAGCTATCTTTCTATGAGAAGACCCTTGTCTTTTGTTTGAGAGTTTGACTGCAGTGCTTGCTTAGGAAAGAAATGGGAGGCATGGTTCAAACTCCTCTGTTTCAGAGAAGTGTCTTGAGAGTTAGGCTATAGACAGTGCAGAGGTGGACAGCTTGTTGAAGGTGGACTGCTCTGCAGAAATTAATGCAAGATATTTTGGGCCACAGAATCAGTAGGAAAGGGTCTGACTTTGTAGTCTAGGGGGAAAGATCCCTTCTTGGGGAGGAGGGGCTGTGGGCAGAGCTCCAGGGCAGTCTAAACTACTTGCTACTGTGTTTTCATGTTCCTGTAGGCAGTATTCTTCATTCTCTCTTGAAAAGCAGCTATTTCAGGGATGAGATATTTGAGTGTTCTAAAAGTGGCATGTTCCCCAAAGATAAAATCGGGAGGCAAGTAGGATATGCTGTTCTCTAAGCTTTTATCATACTGGGTCAGACAGATAGGCTTGGCACAAATCATTAGGTTAATTGATGAAAGCTTTTAAGGTAGGAGTGTTTGAAAAAGCATATTTAAGTAGACAGAACTGCAGACCAGGGTGAATGGAGTTCCCTGTGGCCTGCCAGGCAGTTGTGTTTACAGGCTGGTTTCCCTGCAACGCTGCCTTTTTCAGTTTCCACTTGGCCAACAGTGCCACCCAGGGGTACCAGTTTACATTGGCTTTGTTTTCTAGTCTGCATCAGTCCTCGCTTATACATTGGATTGGTTTGCTTTGGTTTTTACGTGGTCTGAGGTGGCCAGCTCCACCATTATAGCAGTTAAATTTGTTATGTTGTCATCTCTTGACTGTCCTCCTGCCTTCTGAAATCCAAGACTTTAAAGCTTCTTCCCATATAATGTTCCTAAGAAATGTTATATGCAGTCTTGAGTGAACAGTCTCATCCATACCCTTCCTTCACACCTCTTTTAATGTCACTGTCAAGACATTGGCAAGACTTTTTCCTGTCAAGACCAGGAAACAGAATAATCTTGTTTCCTTTCCTTTCACGGCAAACACAGCTCTAAAGAGAATTTTACTTGCCTGTTGGCCATGATCATGCATTTCTGCTTCTGTCTGTTGTATCTCTTAATTTTATCAGGTTAGGTATGAATCATCTCAAAAGGCACAGGAGCATAATCTTCACTTTACTTACTTAAAATGGAATAAATAAATCTTGCCTCTGCCCTGACAGCAAAACTCTCTCTTCTATGCAGGAAACTTTAAAACGTACTTTTGTGCTTTGTTTTGTTTTTGTCTGTGTCAGCTAACAAGGGCGTAAGTTCTTTATCAAACTTTGCAAGACCTTTTCCCTACTTCAGAGTTTTTTTTTTTGTATGATAAAGTAGCCTTGTGCGCAGACGTTGTTGCCCTGACTAGCATTTACTTTTGTGTCCTTTCTGTACCCGTGTTCCCCTTGCTGTCTACCTTTTGAAACTTAAACTCTGGGGAATCTTCTGGTTTTGGTTGCTGAGTGAAATAGAACTTTGGCCCATGCCCAGGGTTTTCACAAGTTAACATTAAGTTGTTGTTAACTGAACTCTCACATTTAATGTGGAATGTGAGCTAGCAGTCTTATGTTCCAGATTTAGGAGTGTTTTTAATGTCTTTATTTCTATGTTGTTGCTTCATAACAAATATTCCAGTCCTCCCTACTACAACCTGGAGGGTAAAGAGGATTTCCCCTCCCCTGAGTGCTGTTCCCTGATATGAAAGAGCCTGTTCTTTTATATTATTTTTCTAGTCAGGAATCTTCTGATCTGATTAAAACCATTGAGTATTCTCACACAAGAAAGTTAAATGGCAAAACCCAAGGAGACATTCCTAACATCCACACTTCAACTACCTGCAACTGTTGCATGTTCAGCAGCAGCTTGGTTAGTTATCTAATGACAGTGACATTGCTTTTCCGTTAACCTTGTAGTTCCGATATTAAGTATTATTACTAGTATGTGTCTGGAATCAGAGTGCCCAGTTTAAAAAAAGTTAATAATGAGTGTAAGCTGTGATTTGGGTTTAGAAATGATGTAAGGAAAAAAATGAACATAAATAATGCCCTAATGATGAGTTTCCTAGGCAAGTAATTTTTAAAGTGTATGCTGGTACCTACTTGCTGTAGCTTTGGGTAATGTGCTGATGCCTGGGAGTCTGAGTGCTGGAATGTAGAGAGTGACAGGAGTCCTTAGAGACTGGCTTCAGTGTCGTTATTCTTTTATGCTGTCTACTGACTCATGTTCATGTTTGTTCTTCTACTTGTTCACCTGCAGTTGCTAAACCCGTTTTGCTCTTCTATCAAGTGTTAGATGTTCCATTTGTGTTCCTCACCCAAATTCATTGTCATATATTTTTCTTCTACCTGCTACCAGGCTATTTTTTGCCTAGTATTGAGCACTGTTGTTATGGTGTGTGAGATATGTGAATGTTCCTTCAGCTGGAGATACCCCAAAAGTGAGAATTAAAATAAGTACTCTTCATAATGTATTTACATTACCACGTTAGTTGTGATGTTAATTGTGCAATGAAGAAATACTGTGCCTTGAAGAAAAAAAAGCTGTCTTTTAAATACTGAAGGAGAAGGTTGTCTGCAGTTGGTTTTTCTTGCCTAGAACAAGTAATAAATGGCAAGTACCATTTAAAAGTGACTAAAAGCTTTGATTCCTACGGAACAATTTTTAGCGTTGAGGTTAATTACCTCTGTTCTTCCAAAACATGCTGCTTTGTGTATTGTCTCTTCACCAGTCTTTTATGATTGCGTGCTTCTTCCTGAAGGTTTCCTGCCTTCTCTTACAAGCTCCTGAGTTTGTGGGTGCTGTGACAAAGTCACCGTTACATTTGAGGCTGTGCTCATTAGGTTTGACATCTAGTTTATAAAGAAAGACAGGATGCATCATCAGAAAACATATTATGTTTTTTTTTTTTTTTAATTTGCAGTGAGGAACTCAGGCGTTGGTTTCTTCAACAAGAAATGGATCTCTTGCGATACCGCTTCAATGAACTGACTGGTACCTTAAGACAGAAATTCCTGGAACATGTTAACTTACCATTTGAAGCTGTAAGTATGTTATTTTCTGTACTTCTGTTATGTTGCTGGTGCCTGTTTTTTAAAGTTCTCATTAAGATAGTTTTATTAGTTCTGTTTAAAGAGCAGAAAGTGCATTTATGGCTTGAAAAAAAACAACCATGCAGAACTTCTGCACTTGGAGAATAGTGTGCCTGCCACAGAAGTGAGGACTAAGTGATGTAATTTTGTGCTGCAACAAGAGAAGCTCAGTTTGCTGCAGTCAACCAATGCTTAGCTGAAAAAATGTGTAGTTATAAATGTAAGTTAACAATGTTTACAGAAGCTAATGGGAGGTATTTTTGAATCAAGATTCTGAATGGGTTAGACCTAGTCTGTTTTCTTCAGATACGGCATTTTTATGTCTTCTCTGTCCATCAGGACAGATAACACTCTGGTCAGAATTACTTTTTCTTGTACATGTAAGTTACAAATTGTGTGGTGGTTCACCTTACGGATTTCAGGGATAAGAAAGCAAATGTCTGTGTTAGATTCTAACCTGAAGTATGTGTGCAGTCAGTTCTCATCAGATCACTGGTTTGAGTTGGAAAATAATTTTGGACAACATATGTCTTTATGAATAAACTTGGTCTAGAACATTTGCAGTCTGCTAACTTAAGATGTTGGCTTCTTGCTATAGTAACCAAAGCAAATGCAGTGACCTGAGGACTGTGTACATTGTAGCATTTAATGAATACTGACCTCTCGAGAAGGATGTGAAAATTAAAAAGGCATGCATTTAAGGAATACTTAAGACAGCTGTTGAGCACATAATCAATATTTAATAATCTAAGTATGAAAATCCTTTGTGGATTGCTCAAGAATATAGCTTATTTTGAATTTGTCATGGTGGGTTAAGAATAATAAGCTTCTTTCTACTTGGCAAGTATGTTTTTGAAATGTGATTGTATGCTTGTGCATCCTAAAAATCATTTTGATTGCACTTGTTTGATCATATTATATAAGTTACTGGAGTTGAAGATGTGTAACCAAGACTATGATTTAGCCTAAAATGAAAAAGAAAAGCTGGTATGAGATATAGTGGTTAAAGATGGCCTACTGTGTTGAAATTTTTATATATAGTTTAAACATAAATGATGTACAATTAAATAACAGTTTTATTATTACATAGACTTTCTACATGCACATACACATAAACTCTTTTAATAGGCAATTTGATTTTGGCCCATTAAGTACCTGATATGGAGACTTGCACAATATAACTTGTGTCCAAAATTCTATAAATGCTCTTATTCCACAGTTGTTGCTTTCTCACTGGAATTTGGATTCAAAGCTTGTTTCTCTTTTAACTTCAAGTCATTGTGGTTCTTTACCAACTCATGAAAAAGCTTGAAAATGCCAAATGTTTGTAGACAAACAGCTGTTGTTTTTGAGGTGCTTTAGGGATGTTACAAAAGAGTTCCTGCTGTTATATTCTGCTTCCTTTCTCTGAGGAGATTAAAAGAAAATGTCTATAGCAGTTTCTGCATTAATAATTTCAATAAATTATTTCATCGCAGCTGTGAACTGTTTTATTAGAAAGCTCCAGCTTTGCCTGTAGCTCTCAGAGTAAACTAAAATTAATATAGATTAATGTACGATCATCACTGTGCTGAAAGAGACCTTTCTCTTAAATGACTGCTTAATTAGAAGAACTTAAATGTTCTGAAGTACCATAAAATGCTTTGAATTGGAAAGGACCTTAAAGATCATCTAGTTCCAACCCCCCCTGCAATGGCCAGGGACACTTCCCACTAGACCAGATTGCTCAGGGCCATGTCCATCCTTGTCTTGAACACCTCTGGTGATGGAGCATCCACAACTTCCCCAGGCAACCTGTTCCAGTGTCTTACAACCCTCATAGTGAAGATGATCTTGCAAATTTCTAATCTAAATCCACTCTCTTCCAGTGTGAAGCCATTATCTCATATCCTATTACTACAAGCCCTTGTAAAAAGTCCCTCCCCAGCTTTCTTGTAGGCCTCCTTCAGACATGTGGCTGCCATTCATTATATGTCGCTGTATTGAAAGATCTGACACCAGTGCACATTGATTATTAAAGGTGACTTGTGCAGTGCTGAGAATGAATTTACCTAGCTAAACAGTAACACGTGGACTTCCCTGGATCTTTGAGAGATTATTAGAAATGTCATTGTTTTGCTGAAAGGTTTGTTGAAACAACAGTGTGTTTGTGGAGCTGTATTTCCATTGCTTTTTCCCAAGTCTCATAGTGTCCTGTCACAGTTTCAGCATTCAGGCTCGTGGGAATGAATTAGTCTTTCCAGGATGCTGGAAGTAGTTGGGAATGTGACTTGGTTCTGTGCGGTTGCACATGCCTTCAGCACGTCAAAATGATTAAGAAGGTGTTACCTTATTATGCCTGTTGAGGCAACAAAGCATCACTTAATTGAAAATCTACTTCCCTGCTTCTACTTTCCCCCTCTCCCCTCTTCTAATTCCGGTGTGAATTTAAGCAAAACTAATCGCTCCTTGCACTATCATGTATAAAACATTTGAATATTACTAAGGAATTCCATATGTCAGGTGTAACCTCTGTGGGGCAATGCAGGAGGTACCAAGAAGCAGTACTCTTATTGTCAGTGTTGTATTTGTAAAAGACTTTAAAAAGGAAATGAAGATGAACTATCCTCTTCATAATTCTCTGTTAGGCATTACAGGGTTTTCATGCTTTATCGTGCATAAAACAAGATGGAAATCAAATTTTGCGCTCCGCCTGTTAGAAAAGAGGATGGTCAGGAAAAGGAATTAAGTTCTGATAGTACAGTTCAGTTTTATATTGTTAAACAGATAGAAATTCTGCTATGGGAGTTTAATTGCTTAGCACATCCTAAGAAAGTTAGTTAAATTTCCTTAAAGAGAAGACAGACACCTTGCATATTCTAGATAATGGTTCTGCATTTCAGAACTGTCATCTGAGGTAGGCCAGAGCTGCGGAAGTTGAGGCGTGGCATAGCTGTATCTTCAGTTAACAATTCTAAGAACCACTGTGAGAAGCGTTTCTCAATATTTAATAAAAGAACTGGTCAACTTTTTTTGTGGGGAGGAGGGATAACTGGATTGTCTTGTGGAGTTTTGTCACAGTTGTCTTCATTTACAGCACCAACAAAGTGAACCTAATGCTGAGAGTTCAGTAGCTGTCCTTTCTCTCCTTCTCATGTTTGGTTACATGCATGGAAAAGTAAGACATATTTATGTATTTTTTTTTTCCAAGGGTTTTGCACAGTAATTCCTGAGATTTTGTCAATTGCGTATTGAGAATTACTGCCTTATAGCATCAAGGAATCTTTAGTCCCACTCAGGGACAATCCTTAAACAGCTATTGAGATCCTATTTTAAAACTTGAGTGCCAGAGGTCTTACTTAGCCACTTTAGGAAAGAATGGAGTTCTAAACAACTAGAAATAAAAATATCAGGGTTTTGGAATTTTTTTTGTATCACAGTCAGCTGAGGAGAGTTTGAAATGATAGTGGTTCTGATCTCATAATTACAGAGAATTTTAATCAAAGAGCAAGGACTTTCTGAAACTAAAAATAGAAATGAGATTTAGTAAAAATTCATCTTTATAATATGATTTCTTGTGTCCTGTGACTGACATTTATGTTGCTGATGGAGCAAAATACATGGCAAGGGGCTTATTAAAATAGATAAATACTTGGCCTGGGGAGTTTTACCTGGTTATGAAGAAGCCTTTTACTTGCAAAAGAAAGTCCATAAACACAGTGGCTCACTCTGTGATACATGATTTGGTCAAGGCTCCTTCCATGTGTTTTTGCAGGAGTGCTTAGGCTTGGCTTGGGGGGGGAGGTTAGGCTTGGCCTGGGAGCAGCATTTCTAACATGACACTTACCGTAACATCTTTTAGGCAATAATATTTCAATAAAATACTATTACTAGCTCATTTAAAATGTAGTTTTTTTAGAGAAATTGGTAACCTGTTGTGGGGTATTTCTCTTGCTGTTATTTGTTCCCTGGGAAAATAGCTATTTGAATATCATTTGCTTCATGTTAGTTAAAATCATGCTGTCTTGGAGAAAGCATCTGTGTTGTTCAGCTTAGAGCACTGGACTTGAAGGAACGTTTGCTAAACTTTCTGATCAGTAATTCTGTAGTTCTCTTGTTCAGTAAAGCTTATTTTTAACCTTATTTGACACTTGAATTTCTGGATCTCAGTCTGTGATCTTGTTTCTCCTGACTTTTTATGTAATAGTTCATACATGACTTGCTGTCAGGTGTCCACTAAATTTTGGGAAACTTCTTAAAGGAGAAGAGACTAGGAGACTGGTTAGTAGTATTGCATCAAAAGTAAGCTTAATTTTAGTATTAAGTGGTTTGTCAGCCTTTGAATATGTATGGCTGTGTGTGTTTCCTGCTTTGATGTTTCTTTGTCCAGAATGGAGAGAAAAGTGCTACATTACCTTTCTCGACACTTCAGTGTGGGTAATTCAATATGAGAAGAAGATTCTGCTGTATAATATTTTTTTCATTTTATGCACAAGAAATACTCATCTCCCTCTTTCTAGAGCTTGCTTATTTTTAATCTATACTTTAAGATATGTTGATATTGTTGTCTATCATGGTACCAGGAGAACCATGGAATAGTGCTGAAGGTATTTTAGAATGTTTTAAGTCTACTTTATGTACTTTAAAAACTTTTTTTTTTTCTTTAGGGACAGTGCTGTCATCATCCAGATAAATACTGAAGCTTTTTATGTATGGCATGTAATTTTCAGCTCTTAAGGCACGTTAAATAGTCTGTGTGCAAAGTCAGTTGGGTAGGAAGCACAGGAAATCCTTAAGCAGCACTTGAGAAGTAAGTGCTGACATTTAAGGTGACAGGGCCCATCAAAGAGAATATGCAAACACAGGTGTGCAGTTGAGATTTACATTAATTTCAGAGATTAAAGCATTAAAATCTTACTATAAATGAGTCATTACAGCAATGATGTTTCACAGTTTCTGGCAGTAAAAGCCGC